ACTCATTTCAATGTGTAATGAATAAACTCAAAAGAATTGCTATTGATTGGGTAACGATAAACCTCACTTGAATTTGTAATGAGTAAAACTCAAAATAATTTATATTGATTGGGTATCGATAAACCTCACTTGAATTTGTAATGAGTAAATTCAAAAGAATAGATATGGAGTGGGTAATGATAAAACTCATTTAACGATGAGTTTCTTATGAGTTTCATTTGACTCTATAAAAACACATTAGAAGCTCAATTGAAACTCATTGTTCATTTTTGTAAGGGTTAGGACAAACTTCGGTCCCCTGACTTTCTAGAATTGAGCTGGGTTTACATTTGTCGGTTAGAACTTTTGATACAGTAGTTGTTCCTTTTCGCCTCTTTTTTTTTTTCTCTCTCTTTCATTTTGCAATTTTGGTGTGATCAAGCCGAGTGCCGCAGTTATTCCCAAATGAAGCAGCAGCAGTATGTTCCCAGCTTGCGTCACTTCGATTCATTTCAAGGCATGCCACGAAATGAATGCCTCTGTTCATAGACCGTTGGAATTGGGACTGACTTCAAAATGCAGTTCGACACAGTGTTTAAGCGGTATGGGACGTGTGTTGAATGACCTATGCGGTTGTCACAGGTTCGTGGTTGGTCAACCCGAAACGCTCCAAGTCCCGCTTCCTTCTTCTTGTCTTCCTCTTCCCATTGGTTTGAAGCTCGGACGGCATTATACTCTGTTTCATACTTGGCGTGCAACGCTGTCAAAGCTACTGACGCGAGTGCGTGGCTTCATCTACGGTTTTGCTTGTGCGAGGAGGCGTGCAAGTGATCAACGAGTTCAAGGCCCACGCTCGCACCAGTAGCTTTGACAGCGTTGCGCCACGTATGAAAGGGAGTATAATCTCGTCCGAGCTCATGCCTTTGACACTCAGGTAAACATGTGCGAGGATTGCAATTGACCCTCCCCCCAACCAACCTTAAACAGAACAAAATGACAAAAAAGACAAAATTTGTGACAGCGGTGTTTGAGAGAAACTGCAGACTTTTATTTACCATGCCTAAAACTATGGAAACGTTTCAGTGTGGTTGCAGCTGTGAGGGTGAGGTGGATCCAATATGAAAACTGTACCCTGAAGCGACGCCTTCAAAATGCCAAAAATAATTATGGTAAGTTAGAAATTAACCCACTAGTATACTTCCTAAATATTTAGGCCGGGTGTCGATTAAAAAAATTTAACCCAGTTAATTTGTCACAAATTTTCAGGCATAATATCTTGAAAAGAATGAAACTGCAGATGTTCCAAACTGGCTGAGGTAAAGCAGCCTTGCAGTGCACCAAGGTTTACACTGAACATACTTTTGTGTATTGTCCACGAGGTGTAGCTCTTGCATTGAAGTTTTATGAGTTAGTTTCTTCGATGTTTGAACTTTCAGCGTGCCAGCTGGATTGTGTGTAATTGTTTTTTTATAGCGCAAGCAATATCTTAATCCTGGCGGCAGGAAGTTTCGGCTAGCAGTTGACATGGTTGGACAACGGTGTGCATGCTTGCTTTCTCTGAAGCGGCCAATGAAGCGAAATAACAGTGTGTGCGGATTGTCCATGCATTTAATTTTTTGTTTGTTGTTCGTTTCAGACTACATGTGCTTCCAGTATAAGGGGGTGGCTCTCCAGGCGCTGACGACCAGCATGTCGTCTCTGCTGCGCTGCGAGGGAAATTTGAAGGGTAAATATTGCAGCTGCAGTTTTTTCTATTCTGTCCCTGCTACACTTCCTGCGAATTTCTCTGCATGCTTGGTCTTTTTGTTTTTATGGTACTGTAAACTTTTGTTATAGTCCGTTGTAACTATAGAATAGCACAAGCCCCTGCCATAATTCCCTTTGCTCGCCATGATTGGCGGTGTCCTCTCGGCTCTCCTCCTCTCTAGTGTTTGCTTATTAAAAAGAGTGAAGGGCTTTGTGGGAGGGGCTTCTGCTATTCTAGAGTGGCAACAGAGTATAGCGTGACTTCAGTTAATTTAATCATTTCGAACAGTCCTAGCGGGGCACCCATGAATTTTTATGGGAAGGACTCTGCATCATATTTTGAACCGAGAAAATGACCCCACAAACGAGAAAGCACGGGCCTTCTGCTACAAAATTCACCGAACCAAACTTTGTTTTCAAGATCAGAACGGAAAAAGTCGATTCCTGTCTTATAAACGGCGAGTAACAGAAATCCTGTGTTAGTCTCGCCACGTTGGGAAGCTAATGCTATGACCCACATCTTGATTTCTTTAATGCTTGTTATGGCTATTTTCACATCTGGTATTTTCACTGTTCTTTGGCCAAAAGTGAGTGGCAGGTCACCATAGCTTTCCAGAAGAAAGCGGTCACATATGCAGAAATTTCGAGCAAGTTCGTAGCGCTGTGGCGCTTCGTCGCAACTGAGGAAAAACTCTACGGTATTGTTGGTGCAAAACATTAAGCCTCACGACTAGCAGCAACTTAATCGTGGATATACTGCACCGCACGCCGTTTATTCGAGCTCTACTCCACATAAAAAATTGCAGGGACACTTAGGTATCCCTTTGTGGATTAAATGCGAGAGCATTGCCAGTCCTAACGACACTTCCTTCTTTTTTTCTTCTATTGTTAGGAATGGCAATGCTTTCGCATTCAATCCACGTAGGGATAACTTAGTGCCCCTCTAATGTTTGTTTTACGTTACATCATACGGCGTCGCACATCATGGTACGTCATGTCGTCACGTGAAGTGTGATGTCATCGAACCGAGGACATATTTTTGTGAGCATCTTTCGACCACATCAGCGCCGATGCCGTCTTTTGCCGTAATGGGACAAGCTTCTTTTTGAGGGGAGAGTAATGCCGCATTCCGAAGCGGCTGAGATAGCACAGCAGCTAGCATGCCCGGCTCTCACACAGCGGCACCGGGTTCAAATCTCAGTCGTGGAAGCACATTTTATTCTTTCTTTTATTCCTCTGTTAACATTTGGTACCACTCGGTTAACGCGGCCGGACGCCGGATTTTCCGCTCCATGGACATATAATGCTTCCGCATTAAAAACGCACATCCAGTCAGGAATGTGCCTTTTCGTGTGGTAGAGTCGCACAGCTGCCCACCACTTTGAAAATCACTACTGAAGTACGAGGGGGCGCTAGTGATCACCAAATCAGGTTCATGCCATTCATAGGTTGTCACGAATCGCGGGGTTTTCTTGTAAGCTTTGTGTGGGAGCTCTCGGGCGCGCCAGCGGTGCAAGATGTATGGCGTCAACTTTCAGTCTTGTCCGTTTCCATGCGGCTGTTTATGAAACCGGCCGGAAGAACCCTCTCCCCAGGTGAGAGAGGATATGGGAGCGCCGGATGGTGCCTACATTCTTCGAAAGTCGAAGCCGACCGAGAGCATTGGTTTGTTGTATTTTTTATTTTAATTTTGCTTGTCGACTGAGGGCAGTGCTCACAACCAGGCATCTCGAATCACGTTCACCGCCGCGCAGACGGGCAAACTCTCTCGCGGATTGTTTCTCGGTACTGTACTTTTGTATTTAGTTGCTTTGCCAGGCATCTTGAATTGCGTTCACCGCCGCGCAGACGGGCAAAGTCTCTCGCGGATTGTTTCTCGGTGCTGTACTTTTGTATTTTTAGTTGCTTCGCTAAAACAAAGAGCGGCGATGGGTGCTAAGAAGCTCATTGCTGATTGGTCAGATTACGAGCCCTGAAAATGCTGCTAGTCTCAATATAAAGACGTGGACTGGCGGGAAAAAGGGTGTGGTTCGTCTTTGGGGTTAGGAGTGCCCGGAGCTGGCCGGGACTCCGCTCGTCATTTCCTTTGTTTTTGAGTCTCGATTGAATTTTCAGTACGTAGGGCTGTGACCCTAGTTTGCCTGCGGGTCCGAGTTTTAGTTTAGCCTTCGGGCGTGTTTGCACTACGGTGCGTGTGCGTGCGCGTGTAATACGTCGGGTCGTCCCTGCGAGAAGCGTGAAGATTCCGGACTCCGTGACGACTCCTCTTCATCGACCAGGGACTCCAAGACAGGCTCCGGCAGCGTCTGGACTACAGATAAGACTTTTATTTTATGTTGTGATTGGCTAGGGCCAACGTGTTCGATCAATTTTAAGTGTGCCTTATCGAGGGTTGTTCGAAAACGTTTTTTAGCGTTTCTAACCGGGATGTTAGTGCACGTACTCCCGAGGGTTTTTGGATCGTTCACTAAGTGATTTCTATGTTGTGTCTACTTTGTCGCCGCGCTCCACCGACTGCTTGGTGTTAAGTCTGATTAAATTTGTGTTTTGTTTTGTTGACCATCTACGTGTCGTCGCCTCCTTACCTGACATTGCACCGGGCGTGGACCTATCGCCTGCCATCGGTCCAACCTAGCACTTTGTTTTTGTTGGCCTCGGAGTGGACTATTGTTTTCATTTATTGAAGATTTTTCCCCCTTCCGTGACAAACTGGCGTCCGCGACAGGACCGGTGGCGATGGTGTAATGTCGGAGTGGGACGACCTCACCGTGGAGAGTCATAGCAAGCGTGCATAAGTTAAGGGGACTTGCGATAATTTTTTTTTTCTCATGCTCGCACCCTGTTAAAGTATTGAGATGGACCCCGGAGGCTTGTACGCTCTTGGGAAAGAACTTGGCTTAGGCGGGGCTGAACTGCAAGCCTGGGTTCAAGAAGAAAGGAATCGAATAGATAAGAACAGGGAACAAGAAGAGAAGAATAAGGACAGAGAGGAGCGCGCTCGCGAACGAGAGAGGCAAGCTCAACTTAGAGAAGCGGAGCTTCAAGCTGAATTAAAAATGATGGAGCTGAAGATTCGGCTGACGGAAGCCGAAAATGCAAGAGCGAGGACGAACAGTCCCTCGAACGAAGGTTCTGTGACCAGCAGCGCAGTGCTGACCAGTCCGCAGCGTTGGATGTCGGCCTTCGATGAGAAAAAAGACGACTTAGACGCCTACCTCCTCAGGTTCGAGCGTCTAGCCATGGGCCTACAGTGGCCTCGCGACCAGTGGGCGACGATGCTCGCGCTGTGCCTGAAAGGTGAGGCGCTCTCGGTCGTTGGACGTCTCAGCCCAGAGGAGTCAGTGGACTACGATGCCGTTAAAAGAGCTTTGATGAGAAGGTTCAGATTGACCGCGGACGGTTTCCGCGAAAAGTTCCGGAACGCCAGACCTGAAGGAGGAGAGACCGGGGCCCAATATGCAGCGCGTCTAGCCAGTCTCTTCGACCGCTGGGTTGAGCTCTCTGAGACGGCCAAGCAGTACGACACTCTTCGAGATCTGCTCCTAGCCGAGCAATTCCTCAAGGGCTGCTCACCAAAGCTGGCCCTCTTCATCAAAGAGCGAACAACCAAAACACTGGCAGACATGGCAGACTTGGCCGACCGATACCTGGAGGCGCAAGGAACGCAGTCGCTTGGGAAAAAGGTGGAGGAAAAGAAGCCGACTTCCGAACCCCCACGGCCCGTCGACAAGAAAAGTACAAGACAGCGGCCACCACTGCGTTGTTTTCTCTGTAACCGGCTTGGGCACCGTGCCGCCGATTGCCGGGATAAAGTCACAACTAAGGCATCTTGTTGGAGGTGCGGCCAAACGGGCCACGCGGCCAACTCCTGTCAAGAAGGATCAAAAGGGCGTTCTCAAGCTTCCTGCTGTGTGGCTACCGAGCCCACCAAGAAGAAAGAAGTGGTCGTGCAGGACGGATACGTAGAACTCAAGAACGGTGACCGTCTCCCTGTGGTAAACTCCACGATAGAGGAGGAGGAAACGAATTTGACGAATGGAGTACCCGTGCGAGCCGGCAGGGTAGGAACACGCAGTGTCACCGTCCTACGCGACACCGGCTGCAACACGGTAGTCGTTCGGAAGAATCTCATCTCAAAAGAGGAGCTCACGGGAACTTCCAAGGCGGTCTACCTTGCTGATGGCACCGTTAAGATGCTGCCGGAGGCGAGACTGCTGGTGCGGTCTCCATTCTTCAGTGGGGAGGTGACGGCTCTCTGCATGGAAAGTCCTCTGTATGATATAATACTAGGCAACATTCCGGGCGTTCGAGCAGCAGCAGATCCCGATCCCGAATGGGACGCTGAACCAGCAGCGGAAGAGAGCAGGCCCGAGACTGACGTACGGAACGAAGAACGGACTGTGACCGCGGCGGTTGAAACAAGACTCCAAAAGAAGGCGGCTGAACACAAGACCACGGTGCCTACACCGTTGAGAGTATCGGAAGTTCAGGAGGGAGCAGTTACACCAGACACTTTGAAGAGGGAGCAACAAAACGACTCGAGCCTGAGGACGTGTTTCCAAAACGTCGGGAAAACTATGACGGGCAAGAAGCGGAAGCACTCCTGCATGTTTGTGGTAAGAAACGGAATCCTGTTCCGGTCCTACAGAACGTCACCCGGAAGAGAAGTTCACCAATTGGTGGTGCCTAAGAAGTTCAGGACCACCATCCTTAAAATGGCGCACGATGGGATTCTGGCGGGTCACCAGGGTGCTCAGAAGACAGTAAACCGAGTGCTCGAAGAATTCTTCTGGCCTGGCGTCGGAGCAGACGTGAAACGCTTCGTGAAGTCCTGCGACCGCTGCCAACGCACGACGCCGAAAGGAAAGGTCCCCAAGATGCCCCTGGGGAGTATGCCGCTCATCGAGACGCCCTTTCAACGCGTGGCCATCGACATCGTGGGCCCCATTTCACCGACCACCAAGAGGGGAAACAAGTATATTTTAACGATGGTCAATTACGCGACGCGGTATCCAGATGCTGTGGCGTTGCCCAATATCTCCACCGAGCGAGTAGCCGAGGCACTCGTGGAGATGTTCACTAGAACTGGGGTTCCCCGAGAAGTGCTCAGTGACCGCGGTTCCAACTTTACGTCGGACGTCATAAAAGAGGTGGGACGGCTGCTCTCCATGAGACAACTGTTCACGACGCCCTACCACCCAATGGGAAACGGCCTTGTAGAGAAATTCAACGGAACGCTCAAGACCATGCTGAAGCGGATGTGTCAAGAAAAGCCAGCAGACTGGGATCGCTACTTGGCACCGCTGCTGTTTGCGTACCGAGAAGTTCCTCAGGCCAGCCTGGGATTTTCCCCTTTTGAGCTGCTCTACGGAAGGAACGTACGAGGCCCCCTCTCTGTACTTAAAGAATTGTGGACGAATGAGGCGCTGGAGGAGGAGACCAAGACAACGTATGAGTATGTCTTCGAGCTACGCAACAAGCTCGAGGACACCTGTAAGATTGCCCACGAGGAACTTGAGCGGGCCAGCGAACGCTACCGTCGTTGCTTCGATCGGAAGGCCCGTCACAGGCACATCGGTGTTGGCGATTTAGTTCTAATCTTGCTCCCCACCGACCAGAACAAGTTGCTGATGCAATGGAAGGGACCATACCCCGTGGTCGGACAGAAAGGCCCCCTAGACTACGAAGTGGACCTGGGGCATGGCATAAAATTATTCCACGGTAACATGCTTAAAAAGTATGAAGAACGAGCACCTGACGAGGTTCCTGCGGCTTGTACGGTTGTCGCATTGGAGGAATCCGAAGGAGAGGGCGGTTTCCCCATGCTGAGATTGCAGAGCACCGAAACTGCGAGCGATGTCGTGTTCGCTCCTGGGCTCGCATCGGAGTGCCGAAAAGAGGCCGAGGCCTTGGTTCAAGACTACAGGGCCATCTTCTCCGACGTTCCAGGACGAACCGACCTTATCAAGTGTCACTTGAAGTTGGAAACGGACAAGCCGGTACACACGAAGCAATATCCGTTACCATTTGCAGTGCGCGACAGCATCGAAGACGAAATACGAAGCATGTTACAGATGGGAATTATCGAGCGGGCAGACTCCGCATACAATTCCCCTGTGTTGGTGGTCAAAAAGCCCGATCAGACTCACCGCCTCTGCGTCGAGTTCCGGCGGTTGAACGGCGTGCTGGCCGCCGACTCAGAACCCATGCCGCGAGCAAACCTCTTGTTCGCAGAGGTCGGGACGAAACGGTTCTTCTCTAAGCTCGACTTCAGCAAGGGGTATTGGCAGATCCCCTTGACAGATGAATCAAGACCGAAGACTGCCTTTTCCACGGCCAGTGGCCTGTACCAGTTCAAGTACATGCCGTTCGGACTGAAGACGGCGCCGGCAGTGTTCACGCGCCTTATGCGGCTCCTGTTGGGAGACATACCGGGCGTTAGTTTCTACTACGACGACGTACTGATCGCTACTGACACCTGGGAACAACACCTGAGCACTCTACGGCAGGTGTTTGACAGAATTGGCAAATCGGGGTTGACTGTGAGGCCCACCAAATGCGAGATTGGCCTAGAGGAAGTGTCTTTTCTAGGACATCAGATCGGCCGCGGAGTAGTGGCCCCCCTTCCGAAGACCATCGAAAAAATCCGGGACGCAAAACGACCCGAGACAAAGCGTCAGGTGCGAGCGTTCTTGGGCCTCACGGGCTACTACCGAGATTTTATCTCTGGATACGCAGAGATCTCAGCACCCCTCACTAACCTGACCAAAAAGGGAGAGTCGCACACCGTGAAGTGGACACCGGAACACGAGCGAGCCTTCGACCAGCTGAAGAAGAGCCTTACGGAGGCCCCCATTCGGAAGCTGCCCAACTTCGAGAGGGAGTTCGTGCTACGAACGGATGCGTCCGATCACAGCATTGGCGCAATCCTGCTGCAGGAATATGATGACACGCTACATCCCATAGCGTACGCCAGCAGGAAACTTCTCCCAAGGGAGGAAGCCTACGCAACTGTTGAACGAGAGGGATTAGCCGTAGTGTGGGGCATCGACAAATTTAAGCCCTACCTCTACGGGAGAACATTCGTGCTCCAGACAGACCACGAACCTCTCCAGTACATCAAACAAACCCGGCACGCTAACGCCAGGGTAATGCGTTGGAGTCTGAAGCTGCAAGAGTATGATTTTAAAGTTCAGTATATCAAGGGAAGTGAAAATGTGGGGGCGGACTATTTGAGTCGTATGTAAACAGTGAGAAATAGTTTGAACTTGTATGTTACAGCTGTCCTGCGTGTGAGCAGGGTGTTTTCGTCACACTTTTATTTTATTTGATCTTGGGCACATCTAATTGATTATGTGTGCATTTTGACTGCAGAAAGGATACCTAAGCACAAATTGCCTATGTCATGTATCGTTGGATATGTTAAGATGGTTGCCCACAACAAGAGTAATTGTGTCTTTTTTATGCCACAGTGTGTGTTCTTTGAAGATGTTGCTTGCGCATTTTCTTGAATTTTATGTGAACAGAGTGCCCCATTGTGAGTTTAGAGACGTGTTTTGCGATTCGTTCTTTGTTATTGTGAAATATTCACGAGTGAATATTTTTTAAAGTGGGGAGTCGTGTCACGAATCGCGGGGTTTTCTTGTAAGCTTTCTGTGGGAGCTCTCGGGCGCGCCAGCGGTGCAAGATGTATGGTGTCAACTTTCAGTCTTGTCCGTTTCCATGCGGCTGTTTATGAAACCGGCCGGAAGAACCCTCTCCCCAGGTGAGAGAGGATATGGGAGCGCCGGATGGTGCCTACATTCTTCGAAAGTCGAAGCCGACCGAGAGCATTGGTTTGTTGTATTTTTTATTTTAATTTTGCTTGTCGACTGAGGGCAGTGCTCACAACCAGGCATCTCGAATCACGTTCACCGCCGCGCAGACGGGCAAACTCTCTCGCGGATTGTTTCTCGGTACTGTACTTTTGTATTTAGTTGCTTTGCCAGGCATCTTGAATTGCGTTCACCGCCGCGCAGACGGGCAAAGTCTCTCGCGGATTGTTTCTCGGTGCTGTACTTTTGTATGTTTAGTTGCTTCGCTAAAACAAAGAGCGGCGATGGGTGCTAAGAAGCTCATTGCTGATTGGTCAGATTACGAGCCCTGAAAATGCTGCTAGTCTCAATATAAAGACGTGGACTGGCGGGAAAAAGGGTGTGGTTCGTCTTTGGGGTTAGGAGTGCCCGGAGCTGGCCGGGACTCCGCTCGTCATTGCCTTTGTTTTTGAGTCTCGATTGAATTTTCAGTACGTAGGGCTGTGACCCTAGTTTGCCTGCGGGTCTGAGTTTTAGTTTAGCCTTCGGGCGTGTTTGCACTACGGTGCGTGTGCGTGCGCGTGTAATACGTCGGGTCGTCCCTGCGAGAAGCGTGAAGATTCCGGACTCCGTGACGACTCCTCTTCATCGACCAGGGACTCCAAGACAGGCTCCGGCAGCGTCTGGACTACAGATAAGACTTTTATTTTATGTTGTGATTGGCTAGGGCCAACGTGTTCGATCAATTTTAAGTGTGCCTTATCGAGGGTTGTTCGAAAACGTTTTTTAGCGTTTCTAACCGGGATGTTAGTGCATGTACTCCCGAGGGTTTTTGGATCGTTCACTAAGTGATTTCTATGTTGTGTCTACTTTGTCGCCGCGCTCCACCGACTGCTTGGTGTTAAGTCTGATTAAATTTGTGTTTTGTTTTTTTGACCATCTACGTGTCGTCGCCTCCTTACCTGACATTGCACCGGGCGTGGACCTATCGCCTGCCATCGGTCCAACCTAGCACTGTTTTTGTTGGCCTCGGAGTGGACTATTGTTTTCATTTATTGAAGATTTTTCCCCCTTCCGTGACATAGGTGAAAAATCCTTTTGGGTGCACTGAAGATTTGTGTGGCATTCTCTTTCGTTGATTCATTGGCGCATCTCGCCGTTGATCGAAGTCCTGCACCTCGTTAGCTCTAACGGGCAGGATGGACAGCTGGGCAGACTCGTCGGCTAAATCCTCCTTGTGTAGTTTAGCGTTGTCCTTGTGCTGCTTCAAGTAGGGATGCATGTGAACAGTGCGCGAAACACATGCCTCTTACCCACGCTTCCATATTCATTGCTGGTCGCGGCAAAATAGCCAAGCCAAGCCACCATGTTTGCCCTAAGAAGTTTGTAAGACACTTTGGATAATGACGTAATATTCCGTTGTAAGTCACACAAAAGTTGCGACAATTGCTTTTTGAATTCGGCCTCTTATGTCTCGATCCTCCCAATAATTCGAACTTAGTGTATTGCGTCAATTGTGAAACGGGCGGATCCAGACGTCCGTTTTGCGGTGAGCGGAAAATTTTTAAGGATTCTATTCTCCCATTCTTTCTTATGCAAGGGGCTCCACTCATATCAAATTACCCTCCGAGAAGGGGGGAGGGAGGGGGGTCGACTTTGTTTGGGGGGGGGGGGGGCGGCCGGCCGCCCCCCCCCCCCCCCCCTTGGATTGGATCCGCCACTGTTGTGAAAGCTGCAGTTGACACTCACCCATTCGGAGCATGGCTTATGATCCGCATAGAGCCCTATTGCGGTTTCCTTCCTGTCCGTTGTGATTAAAAATACTTCTTCAAGATATTAAACAAACGAAAAAGTAAATATAAATACACAGGGACGAAAAGTGGACATAAACCACTGGCGCCAGTGTTTACCACCCCATGTGTTTTTTGCGGCGCTTGTCAACGATCATGGATCAATTCGCCTGAATTGCCATATTAATTCGGCGAGGTAGTGCTGCGCTGTGAACAGGATACCTTGCTCGGACATTGAAGTTTAGATAAGCAGATCAACGTGCAACTGTGCATCTTTTTTTCTTATAGGTTACCCGTACAAGGTCTCCCATGGACACGAAGGCAGTACAAGGTCCCCCATGGACACGAAGGCAGTGTATTATATACCCGAATTTCGCATTTTTAATAAACCAGTTATTTCTCCTTCCCACGGTTTTATGCAGGCATTTTCTGAACCCTGCATGCGTATACATATAAGTGGCACTTGCACGCACTTTCCCCTTCCCTCAAAACAACGGTTACATCCGGACCACATGTCATGCGACCTATCGCCGTCTTCCCTCTTACAGCCCTTTATCTAGAAACGCATGCTAGGAGTATAATTTCTAATACATTTCATTTGACAGTCTAGATACACTGCTTTGAATCTCTGTTGAAAATCAATTTTTTTTCTACTGTGTTGCAATTCAGGTTTTGATGGGCCATCTCATTAGGTATATTCAGACTCGTCGGAATATACCTAATGAGATGGCACGTCAAAACCTCAAGTACAACGCGGTAGAAAAAACATTTGATTTTCAACAGAGACTCAAAGCAGTGTATCTAGACTTTCAAATGAAATCTATTAGAAATTCTTATGAGGTGGCACGGCCAAACCTTAATTGAAACGCGGTGGCCAATATTTGTCGTAAACTCTTTAGGGGCTCGTTACAAAAATCAATTGCTTTTCAACACAGACTCGAAACGGTGTCAATAGACTTTCAAATTATATCCATATGAAATACATTAGAAACTTTATGCGGTAGCACGTCAAAACTTCAATTGGAACGCGATGGCCAATAGTTTTCGTAAACTCCTTACGGATTCGTTACAAAACTCATTTGTATTTCTATTGAGACTCGAAAGGTACGATGAGTAGACTCCATAAACTTTCAAATGAAATTCAATAAAAATTAGTGTAAGAGTCTCGCCACCCTGCATCACCTGCTGTGGGAGTGCTCAGCAAGACGGCAGGAGGGGGAGGCTGCACTAGCTAAGCTCAGCCCAGCGAGTCGACCCAAGACGCTAGAGGCTTGGACGGCACCAACTGGCCTGAATGAAGAAAGGAAACTTGTCTTCGACTCGTTGTTGGCTTACATCAGAACGGCTGGTGTAGCCGGCCTCATATAGTTCTTCCTCCTCCTCCCCTCCCCAATGTCTCTCTCCCCTTCCCCTTCGCGGCAAGGCATGCGACCGGCCGCGTCGTACTTTCCTTATACACCAACTCATGTTTACAAACAAACCGGGGCGCTCCGCGGACGCCACCGGCGCCGCGCATGCGCGATGGGGGTGTGGGCAAAAAGCTCGCCGTCGCCCACAAACAAACCATTGAAATGCGATGTTGTCGGCGCCGGTGTGAGTCCCGCGCTCTTTTTCGCGTGGGAACTGTTGATTCTACGTCCTCCTAATGATGTCTGACTACTTGAGCAGCGTCAGCGAAATTAACGAGGCTCGTTACACCGCAAAACTTCGCGTGAATAATCTGACATGCGGCGATTCATTCCGCGTGGACGCCGCAGAACGTACGCTAAAGCCTGATTCACGTGATGAGATTTCGCTCGCAATTTTCAGTAGCGACGTCGCTCGGACTGCAAAAGCGTGAACCGTAGCTGAGTTGGTCGACGTCGATACTGAAAATCGCAAGCAGAATCTAACCAAGTGAATCAGGCATAACAAGTCGGTGATGGCCACTGGTAACAATGATCAACATCTCCTTGTATCTACTGTTTACGTCGAGCCCGCTTACCAACCTTCAAACTTAAGTCTTTTAAGGCCTACACTTAATTCTTATCGCAAGCACCGGGCCCACGTTTGGTCTACGGGCCGGTGTCCTCTAAAAGAGCAGACGACAAGCAGAAACGTTAGAAAAAGCAGACGACAGTTCGAACGATCAGGTGGCCGTTTGAACTTGAAGACGCACTAAACGTAGTCCGCAGGTGGTCCGTGCAACTTGACGGTTTTACGGCGTTCATTTTGGAATCAAACAAATAAATTTGATGGCCAGTAATATCCGTGAATTTAACTCAAAATGCTTCCCGCCCAAGCAATCGTGGTCCGACGGTGTCTGGTTTTCCTTTTTCACGGCACATATCCGCGTTCCCGGACAAACCGAGCGCATGAAAACTGACCTTCAAACCTTTCTCGACTCTCTTGGTACAGCCCCAGTCGCAGCATTTTGAGCAGGTTTTTGTCTGGTTCCTTTCAAAACAACGCAGGAATACACGTCTCAAATGGGCACTTCCGCCCACAGCCCCAGACCGGAAGTGCGTCCGACGCTCCACCACCGCGCCGTGACGTAACGGAGATGAGTTCGTGTATACCTAAATAAAACGTTTTGAACAACAACAACCATTTCTAAATTAACTTGACTTGAATGGGTGCATCTTAGAGGTCTGGATAAGCGAGGCTACATGTAGCAAAAGAACC